GTTAGATCTGATTGTAAAATGTACCTACTTTTCCCTATTAGGCATAAATTAGCTGCATATTAGGACCCATAATATCTGTTATTGTGCCGTGTAATATTTGGATAGACCCACTCTATGGGGTTTAGTTTGTTTGGAAGTCTCATTGCCTGCCAAGTGTCTTACCATAGTTTTTTAAAACCCAGATGTCCTTTTAGTCTACACCGGCCACCTTAATCATTCCAGGTTTAGAGTATTTGGCAAGCCTCCATCTTTTTTTTTTTTTTTGATCGTCTAAAAAAAATTTGATTAAGTTGGAGTATAAGGATACTCCAACCCATTTACATCATATTTTACTATTACAATTTAAACATGTATTGCTCTGAAACACAGTTAATCACATGATGAGAACCCACATCCACCAACTCTATCCTTTATCCACAAAAAAAGATTTAATTTGAATTACCTCCACTAATCTATCAACATCCATTTCCACCTTATTAAATATCACTTTATTTCTCAGCCCCCAAAGATGCCACGTGACTGAGATGAACAAAAAGGACCAGACAGCTTGCATTTTGTCATACTGCTACCCTTGACTAAGTTGCCAAAAAGCCTGATTCATGCTACCGCCAACTGCTGTATGAATGTCCCACCAAGCTAAGATCTTCATCCACACATTATAAGTAAATAAGCACTGCACAAAACATGATCTGCATCTTCCACAGCTTTCTCACAAAAAATGCAACAACTGTTATAGCCATTCATGTTAATCTCTCTTGAACTCAAATTCCTCTTTGACGGCAACCTGTCCAGAAACAACCTCCAAACAAAAAAACTCACGTTTCCAACAAGAAAATTATTCCAAATTGCTTTGCATAAAACAGCATCCAAGATCCTTTGCATAAAATTATTCCAAATTGGCAAGCCTTCATCCAGTTCTTTTATGTGTTTGTTTCCTTATCTGTAGAGCAAAATCTTCGATTTATGTCATGCACGGTAATAGATTATTTTTGGTGCTTTGATTCTTGTCTGATATCTAAAAATGGCCTTGATTACCTTTTAACTGATCAAATAATCACTTGCCTTCATCATCTTATACATGTCATATTCTCACTATAGCAGTAGTAAGTAGAGAGATGATTTCGTATCAGACTTGTTGAAAGAGGGCGAAGAATTCCTTTTGACATTTGCTATTTTTCTTTGATAGTGCATGTGTTAATTTGTGGATAGGTAGGTATTTAAAACTCGGGTGTTCTGATGCACATTGTTCTTGTCTGCAAGACATTTTGCCTATTCAATCTCATTGGAAGTGCTTACACGATTACACCTGATCACTTTTGCTTAAAGGTTCTGGTTTTCAGTTTGGGCTTATGTTACAAAAGTAGCATGGCTTTTCCTGTTGTTAAAGGATTGCTTGAAGAATCTTTGCAGTCATAAATTGCATGTTTCATCAAGTTGCAAGTATGTGAGCTAAATTCAATAAATAATTTATTAACTATGTGATTTATTTTAATTTAATTTAGAAATAATATTTTTTTTCAAAATAATCTATAAATTATCAATTTTGTTTCAAAATAGTTTACTTAACAAATATTCCGTTAACTAGATTAACAGAATCCTTTGGAGATGATGATGTGTGTCCCCTAAACTTTTGAAAAATATTAAATATAGTACATATATTTTTGTTTTTTATAACATTGATTTTTAAAGTTTAAATTCTATATTTATTATAATAATTAACTAAGATAAAATTTGAATTTACATTAATTAGGATTCTAATTTTAATTTACAATAATCAATATTATAATTTAAATTTTATTATTTCTAAA